GGCTTTCAGTCGCCTATGGTATTGCACGTGGGACAAACCCATCACATTTTTCGTTGTCTGTCGCTGTGCGGCCTCCAGTGCAACCAGGTCGCGTGTTAACCAGGGTTGCTTACCTGTTTATGCTCCAAGCAATGTTGGATTTGAACGAGTGGCAGTTCGTTCGAAAGCCATTGAAATGATCTAGCCAGTAAAACCAAACAGCGTCTCCGATGGCTGGCGTTACACCACTTCTGGCGTTTGCATATCGGCGAAGCACTGCCCGGAATTTAGAATTCCGGGTAAATTTAGGATGCACTGGAGTGTACTCGAGAAAATTGTATCACAAGATGGAGCTTTTAAAACACGACGAATAAGTATAGATCCACAGTGAAACACCCACGAGTGCACAAGTGAGCGCTTTGCACGCACGTTCGCTCAAGGTCACAACAACGTCACAAGGTTATCGTTTGCAATGCTTCAGCGAGGCGCCCATAGAAAGTATGTAAATATAAAATACAAATGAATGGATAGTGATCGGTTCAGATGTTCGTTCCGAGATAAGTCGGTCAAAGCTTAAACTGAAAATGGATCACCCTGATAGGAAGGTTGGAATACTTACGCAACGACGTGCACGAGCACAGCATTCATCTAAGTATACTGTTACCAAGACTGAAGGAATTGCTCCTGAGATGCAATTACCACGTTCAGTTTCTTTTCGACGCAGAATGATGGGCTGCAATGGGGCCACACTCGAACCAGTGCTGGTGAACATTTCTCTTGCTAAACTCGTAACGGCATCACTTGGTCCACTTATAGATCGTTTCGACCATTACTGTCGCTATATGGATGACAGCTTCTGTGTGACCAATAAAGACATGACTCTGGAGTATGTATTGGTATTTTAATGGTGCGCAACTGGCAGTTAGTTCGCCCACGAACTTGAACAAGTGGTCCAACTCTCATTTCTAGATGCACACTTGAGTAGGCGAACTGATGACCCCTTTTAAGGAAGATCAACGGAAAGAATACTTGGACCCTTCAGTATGCAAAATGCCGTGGTTTTGTACGGATAAGATACCAGTGTAACCTGGTACACTCTCTCACCTCAAGGGGTAGAAGGATATGCCAAGAGCACTCCCTGGAGGATGAGATGAAATCCATCCACAGTAGGTTGCGTGAATATGGTCATCCGGAAATGTGATGGGAGTGTAATATCAGACTGAACGTGTGGGCCAACCGAGCGAGCCAGATAGCCAATGGTCGACGGATGTAACCGATTTGATTGCTGGACATAAATTGGCCGACATTGATTGAGTAACTCATCGTTTGTTTAACCGAGTCAAAGGAAGTACCTCATTGCCTCAGGTCGTTAGTTGTGGACGTGAACGCGTAACTTATATCGAGGAGTATTGCTTGCCAAACGTGATATAGTTTTCGTCGAGTTGATTTTGCCGAATGAACGCTTGTCCCTGCAGGACTGAGTTCTGTAAGATGGCGTCAGAGAAGACAAAGACGAACCCCAACGGAGGCGCTCAGATGTTGTTCGCATCACCAGCATCTAATAAGATGCCTGCCCCTTTGAACATGGATGAACGGAACTTGGCGAGTAATTGGCGTCTATGGAGGAGCAAGTGGCTGGATTTCTACACATTAGTACGTTTGGACGAATAACTGATGGCGTATCGCTTGGCCATGTTTCGACACGCAGCAGGGGATGACGCACGCCGTGTTCTAGACATTGCACTACCACAAAGGCGAAGGTCCCAATAATTTGGATACGATCAGTGAAAATTTCAGTGCATTTTGTGAAAGTCAAACTAACGAGACCTACTAGCGCTATATTTTCTTTCCGCGCAATTGAAGCCGAAACGAATCTGTCGACACGCACACCACAGATTGAAGATTGTGGCCCGATTCTGCAAGTTCTGTAAATGTATGGGCGATAGTCTCATACGTGATCGGATCGTTCTAGGAATCAATGATGAAAGTGCGATAAAGCGGCCGTTGCGACAAAGCAACTTGTCGCTCCAGTAGTGCATCGAAATTTGCAACATCGAGTCCTCGACCACCTATCAATACCAACAAATGATACTCGCAACTGCTGCAGAATTGTGTGCCGTTTCCAGAGACGAAGCAACAAATGTTACTAACGAGACAGGATATTTGCAAATTTGCGCCGCGCGACACCCGAGCTCTCGTGAACAGTGTCCGGCGTCGGGGACGGAAATTCGCCAAATGTGGAAAATGATACCACCTTGCTTGTTGACGCCAATCAACCAATGTGAGTGCGGTCGTTCGTGACAAGTCACCCACAGATGCAAAACATTCAACTGGAAACGCGCCTCGGAGGGTGCTGCAAAAATATATCTTCGTAAGTCTTTTGACCGGAGGCAAAGTCGTGCGATTCCAGTTAGACAGGGGAGCTACTGTCAACGTTCTACCAAAGAAACACTGTCCCGAAGTGCGCATCCGATCCGATCCAGATTGTCTGCGCATGTGAAATGGTTCCAGACTTATTCCGAAGCGCTCGGCTACAATCGAAAGGGCGGCGCTTCATATGGACTGGAGCTTGTGGTCGTGGATGAGGAGTTCATGTTGATATTTGGCGTTGATTAGATTTAGTCTCTCTGTTTTGTTCTTTTTAATCATGATCGTTTAATGCATGCTTGCCATGGAGAAACCGATATTAGTGACCAGTATCCGTCTGTGTTTAGCCCGAGTGTGGGAAAATTTGAGGGAACCGCTCACATCCTTAGATCCTTTGATATGACCCACAGCGCTACCGGACAGGAGATTTCCACTTGCACTGCGCGTCAGGTTTCGCGATGAGTTGAGCAAATTAGTGCTAGAGAGTGTGATGGCCAAAGTTGACGAGGCAACCGAATGGGTTCGTCAGGTCACCATCTGGACGAAGAAGAAGGGCGAACTACATGTGTGTATTGACCCGGAACCGTTAAATGAGGCCTACCTAGAGAGCATTATGCGCTACCTACCGTGGAAGACATCTGACCGCGCCTGATCAAAGCTAAGTATTTCACGAAGGTTGACCTGTCTTCCGTATTCTGGCATGTGGTTCTAGATGAAGAATCCAGTTTCCTGACAACACTTGGAATACCGTTTGGGCGTTATCGGTGGCTGCGTTTACAGTTTGGTAAGAAAGTATCGAGCGAAACCTTTCAAAAACGATCGGTGCAAGCGCTAGATCATTTAGACGGTGTAACATGTGTGGTAGACGATGTTTTAATTTATGGCTGGACGGAACGAGAGCAAGCCGCGAATCTCCACCGTTTCTCCCAGTGTTGTAAGCAAAAGAACATCAAGCATAAACGCCAGATTATTGATTTTCGGAAAAATGAGGTGGTTTTCCATGGGCATGTGTTAACTACTCAAGGGATCCGGATCGATCCAGGAAAAATCGACACGATACTGGAGATGCCACCCCCTAATGACTCGAAGGGAATCCATTGCTTAAACGGTATGGGGAATTATTTGAACAGTTTTATGCCTAGACTCGCTGATATCATGACGTCGATCAAGAAGTTACCTCAAAAAGGAGTAAAGTGCAGTTGGGGAAAGGAACAGGAAAGCACGTTTGTAACTATTAAGCACCATAACAGCCACACGCCTGTACTGGGATATTACGTTTCAGCCTAGCCTCTGGAGGTACAGTGTGACAGTAGCCATGGCGGAATAGGTTCAGTTCTCTTACAGAATGGAAAACCTTTGAATTTCCACAGCCGAGCACTCACCGTGATTGATCACCGATATGCGCAGACTGAGAAGGAGATGTTCCTGGTAGTCTATGTCATGGAGCGTTTCAACAATTAAACTTTCAGAAGAAAGACAAATGTCTATACCGACCACAAACAGCTTGTGTCGATAGCCAGCAAACCGATGCCCATCGTTCCTCGTCGTCTTCAGCGTATTCTTATCCGGCTTCAAAAGAACGACGTGGATATTGTGTACACGCCTGGTGCACAGATGTTCATCACGGACATGCTGTCAAGAGCTCATCTAACGGTGCCTGAGCATAATCCAGAAGAAGTCGAGGCAGTAAATCTAGTATAACACCAGGCATTGACGGAAGATCGTCTGAATGAAATAAGGCTCAACGCAGAGGAAGATGCGACGTTTGCAGCTTTGCGAAACATTATTATAAATGGCTGGTCAGAAACGAAGAAGCAGCAGCCGAAGGAAAATATACCCAACTTTAATTTTCGGGATGAACACTGTCTATGATGGTTTGTTGTCCAGGGGTAGCCGTATTTTGATTTAATCATTGCTCCATAGAGAAATACGGAAATACATTCATCTCGCTTTCCTGGGTGCCAACTACACAATTAACCGGGCAAGAGAATTGGTCTTTTGGCCCGGAATGACGGGTCAAATCAGAGGTCATGTGTCGAATTGTCAAACTTGTAGTTCACACGAAATCCGGCAGACGAGGGAACCAATATCGCTGCATGATGTTACTGATCGACCCTGGCAAAACGTGGTGGTGGATTTATTCTGTGACAAAGGAACAGATAACTTACTCACGGTGGATTACTATAGTGATCATTGTGAAATAGATTTACTCATCAGTACTACCAGAGAAGCAGTGGAACAGTGATATATTCCAAGAAAAAAAGCAATGCTTAACGAGTCCCGTTGGATGGAAATTATTGCGAAAAGTAAATTGCATGATAAAGTGAAAAGCGTTTTGGTGGACTCACCATAGACTTATGTAGAATAGCGGAGCTGTTCGCGTATTAAAAGTATAAATCCATAAATTCGTTGGTTGGGAGTCTGGTAAGACACAGTTTGATTGCTTTTGGTAGCCCCTGGCTAACCTTTCATAAAATGAAATGCAAATGGGAGAACGCATCGTCAGTCCGTTTTTTAAATATCGCCAGTTTGGCCGCAGAAACGACTTAATTAAGGGTGCCTTTGCAGGCTGACACACGCGCAGGAAAAAAGAATTTCTTTGGCATTCAAGTCGGCTATATTATATTGTTAGTTTCAGAGGGTGACCTCTTAGTTTAGTGTTGGGGTTCAATTCCAGCAGTGGACGGCAACTGTGGTTTGGATTCTTCAGAATCTGATAAACCATTATGTGATCCCCCCCGCAAAAGCCGATATCGACTGCTGTACATTCTTAGAGATTTCAGTCTAAGCTGATAGGGCAGATGAAAGAGGCCCCTGACATTCTTGGTTGCCCGTCGTTGAGGAGTCTCGAGAGCAACGAGATCCTGTTTCTGCCACGGCTGCCACACCTGAATAGCATATTCCACGTGAGGTCGCACGTAGGCCTTAAGCATTTGGGGAAATATTGATGGTTCAAACCGACCGAAGGCTCTGCGAAGAAGGCCGAAGTGTTGATTTCCGGTTATCCTCGCCTTCTCTGCTCGTTTTGAACACCCGAGATCTTCCTGTACCAATACACCCAGGTCACGCTCCTGAGAAACCTTCGCCAAGGTGTGGTCTCCAATCTTGTAAGCCCTCACCAGCTGGTGACGCAGATGCATCACTTTGCACTTAGCCATGTTCAATTGAAGCTTGTTCCTCTTTGACCATTCGTAAATGCAATCTAAGTCATGTTGGAGCAGATCCTGATCTGCCTTGTTACTAATCGCCCGCCATATCTTGATGTCATCGGCGAAAAGCAGGAAATTTGAGGAGATGACTCTTGCCAGGTCGTTGATAAACACCAGAAATAAGCGCAGTCCCAGCACTGAGTCTTGTGGAGCGCCACATTCTACCTCAATCGGGTTAGAGATGTCAATTAGCGCGGCACTGAATACCGAACGATCTGGTCTCTGACAATGGCCCTCAGCTTACTAGCGCTGCGTTCCAGGCGTTCGCAACCAAGTGGAAATTCAGACATCAGAAAACCAGCCCATATTACAGTAGATCGAATGGAAAAGCAGAATCAGCGTTGAAGCAGGCCAAGCGACTGGTATTAAAGGTTAGAGCTACTGGCGAAGACCTGTACCTCATGCTACTTGGGAATCGCAACGATCCTTCAAGGAACATCGGCTTGAGTCTAGTGCAGCGTCTATACAGTCGCAAGACTAGAATGCTGATGCCAGTATTTGCGATACTTTTGCGCGGTTTCGCCTCAGCTTGAATTACAGCACAATCTGAAAAACCGAATGATAAACCAGAAACGGTATTAGGATCACGGTGCACAAACGCGGCCAGAGCTAACAGTGAGGGAGGAAGTGTAGGATCAACCAGTACCCGGTGGTTAAAAGCGGTGAAAGAAAGATGTCGTGACTGCAAAGGTCGGCGCAAAGTCATACGAACTAAAGAGTGGAGTGAAAACGCTCAATAGAAATCGAGGGCATTTGAGAAGACACAGGAAGAAAGAACGTGGATTAGGAGCGCAACTCCAGATGGCGCGTGGCAAGGAGAACATGGCCGCGGATACAACGAAGATGACGTGGAGTGGCAAGGTGTATGGGGTATATAACAAGGTGGAGGCACAAGAAAGGAAAAAAGAGAGGATGTG